AAAAGGGACTACAAAGGTATAGCAGGAGTGGAATGACGAGGCTTTGAAGCACCCAATTCTTTGCCAGCAATCAAAGGGTTTTCATATATGAAATATTCGAGCAAGCTGTAAGGCAGATTTCTGGAGACTCCATGTGATTCAGTCCAATTGCTACTTCCCAATGAAAAACACATTTAAGTTTTGAAGTTAGGCAAAACGTCATTTTAATTGCTCCACGAGCGGATAGTCTCTCTCTCTCTCTCTCTCTCTCTCACACACACACACACACACACACCCCCCTAGGTTCAAGGCAAGAGTTTCAGGTTTTTGTATAGTGATAGCAATCAGCACTTAAAAATTATCTGAAAGCTATTTAATGGGTTGATTTTTTTTTTTGAAAGCACCACTAAATTATGTGTGTTGTGAAACAATGAAGAAAATTATAAGTACCACTCTTAAAAGTGCCAAGGGTGCAGCTAAGATAGCAAAAAAAAAAAAAAAAAAAATAGAGTCCCTAGGTTATGGGCAAGAGAGACCCTATTAGATTACCAAACAGCACTGCATTTTCTCATCATGGTGATGTAATGGAAAGTGATATTGCAGAAGACTGCAGCATCATTCACTCCTGACTCAGTTACAGCCCTCAGCAACCACAAGCTCATATTCATAACATATCCTCATCACTACCCATGTTTACATTAGTCTTTTTACATTTGTGTCCCCGACGCCTACAGGACAGGAGTACTTTGGTCAATCTATTCAGCAAATCGGTTGAAGTATGACAACCACAACTGTTGCTTTGTAAGACAGTTTCATCCAAGCCTGTCAGAGCTTTGGATCTCAGTCTCCTTTTGCTCTCACTGGACGGATGAGCATTTCCTCCACAGCATGCTCAATACAGCTTGCCAGAAAAGTTTGATTTCCAATTTTTTCCTGCTGAGAGCTAGTAGAAACTGGCATCGATTTAGGTTGGGAAGAATCAGATGCCAGTTTACCAGTAGTTTAAGTAAACATATGTTTACAATTACCTCGTTCATCATGACCTACTTGTGTGGAGTTGCCTTTTTGGAACTAGTTCATGTTTACTGACTCTGGTCTCTGAACAAAGCTGAAACATTAAAATTTACTGTAACTGAGAGAGCCATTGTATCAGCACCCTGCTTGAAAAGTTAGGGCCATAGGATTCTGAGACATGAATCGATACACAATGCTAAGACAAACACTACACTGGGTTTCTCAGGGAAAGCTGCACTCTGAGTAGAGCCACAGTGTCTCCTGGCCCATGGTTAACCCTGGATAAGCAAGCATAAGCAATATAAATGACCCTCCGACATCTCCACAAAAAAAGTTCTCTTCAAACAGAAAGGAGGTGCAGATTGTGTTGTGTGCCAGCTGGTCCTTTGAAGAGCTGTATCTGCTCAGACTTGTCCCCAGCAGTCAAGAGGGGACATCTCATCCTACATTTTAAGCTACCTAAAGAGTAAGCACAAAGCAAGCTACCGCAAAGACCACAATAGTAAGACATTTCATAGGGTCAGACAGCTCAAATTTCAAAAGAATAGTTTCTTTGCTTTTCCTAGCTTAGGCGCTGATGGGAAAGAAATTCTTACAGGAAAAAAACCTTTATTTTTTAAATTGAAAACCAGTTCATGCATCCCTAGTAATAAATTAACATAGAGGGATAGAATGGAAATGCCAAGAAGTTAATACAGCAACACTACCACAACCCATTAAGTTATACAACATTACCAAATGGTCTTTAAATGTTTACCCAGTCTAACTTCAAGCAAACATTTTAAGTAAAGAAATCAAGTTTACAGCAGTTTTTACTAATCCAATGATAGCTTTACCTAGACAGTCAAATGATTGAGTACATCCAGAGTCCTACAAGTTCAAGTTAGTACAACCCCTTAAAGCCCTCCGGTATTACATTCCCTGGTATGACTGGCAAGGGGGCTTTGCTTTGCAACTCTCCATTCAGTTAGGGTCAACCACCTCAATATATACATATCTAGATTATTTGTGGTGTCTAAGGGGAAAGCCTCAGTGAAGCTGGTTGTGGCTCCCAGCCTAGAGCTGCTCTGCAGTATACCAGCTGCTAACAGTCTCCAATTGGACATCTGCTAGCTGGGGATTGTCAGATAACATCCTCCCCCTCCCTACCAGTGTTGCAAGGGCTGCTGGAAGAGATGGCACATGGCCTAGCTATACCATCTCTATGCCAGCTGGCGACTCCCCATCTTGGAAGAAACCTTCAGCTAAGGAGATCCAGCTACTTTTAGCCTTTACACGCCAGTGGACTGCAATTCAGGATCTGGCCCACAGTTCACAGGAAGACTTGTAGCAATTCTTGTTAGATTCAAAGTCATTTAAGTATGTATGACACAGGGTTGCAAAATGTTTGCTCTACATATGATTATACCAGCTGTGTTCTATGAACAGAACTGAACTACAGATATCCATTTTACATTTAGGTAATGCTTTCAAAATAAATACAAAAACACCACTGAAAGCAAGTCACACCTGGGTTAGAGGTTGAAAGCCAACATGCACAACAGTAGGGGAGAGGATATTTTGGCTGACAAAAAACAAGGAAACTCACTAGAATATCCAGCCAGAGCAAACAAGATCTACTTTAAGAACAAAGAGTGAAAATGAAGTACAATATTAGCAGGCGGGGAGAAGGGAAGAAACAATAAACTTCTGGCAAGTGTAGGGGTCTGCTTCCATACATTATCATTCAGAACAGATGTTATCAAACATTACTTTTTAGTCTGTTTGCTGTGAGTTGTGCTGCATATTTAAAAACTAGATTGAGCCAAGCAAGTTTTGATATCAAAGATTAAGTTTATTCATTAGACTACAACTGTATATCTTGAGACCAAAGGCAAGAGAAAGAGAGGAATATGCTTCTTGAACAGCCACATCTCTTCCATTCAGACCTTGCTAGGGAATTTATGTGTATGTTCTGAGCATTCTGGATGTCCCTTCACTCCTCTTCCCCCTATCTAAACGAACTCGACTGAAGCAACAGTCCAGGCTGTTATTTACACCATTTAATGTTTCAGGCACACTTCCTTCTTCCACTCAGGTTGTCTAATCTCCATACTTTTTTTTTTTTTTTAAACCTGTCCTCATAACTCACTCCTTTTAATCCTGGGATTAGCCTGGTTGCCCTCCTCTGTACCTTTGAGTGCTGTAAGTGCAACTAGCCCATGAATTTAAGAATAAGTCAAACTGAAATCTTATAACTGCTTACTGATCTCATCTCCTACAGAAGCTTTGTTCAAAAGAAGATCATTCAAGCACCTCTGTGAAGCGATACAATTTCACTTGACTATTAAGTTCAATTTTAGAAATTTAACATTCCACTCCCACCCTCTTCACTGTGCCAATTGTTGTTTCTCACTTTACATGAGTAAAATCATGAACAAGCACAGAATTGCTCTGTGAACCTTGATCAGTATTGCTTTGACATACCAGCAACATATGTTCCCAGTTCAACAAATCAAAACATTTTACACAAAACACCACTGCAGATAGAGTGGTGCTCCCAAGTGCTGAATCAGCACTTTCCATACTACTTCTAAAATAAAATGTTATGTGGATTTTAAGGGGGAGGAAGGGGAAGGGAAGGGGGGGGGGCTGGCAGTTTAAATCCGTAGCAAAAGAGATTTTGCAATAGTGCATCTGCCGACCCAATTAACTGCAGACTTTCTTTTATAAAATGATAGTTTAGGTCCCAGTTTGCAAAATGGCAAACAATGTATAAAAGGGGAGTCCATGTGGAACAGCTTTCTGCTGCTCTACCTCCAATCATGAGTCTGAAGTGGGGGAGGACAAGAGGGAAGAAGGTAAAAACCTCTCCCTCCAACCCAAGTCTTATTTTACACATAACAGGTTACAATAAGCTACCCGATATTACCCAGAAGCCAACAAAATGCTGTCCCACACCAATGTTCAAATATTCCCCTTACTCCCAAATACTTGTTTTTGCAGCTACCATCACAGATTTACAAAACAGAAAAGAAGGAAGGTGGCAGCATCCAGGAGTGGCACTTTTGTGAACTGTCCTTTGCCTCAGTCTTCTTGCCGAAAGAGAAAAAAAAAATGCAAGGAATAGGATTTCAGACCTAAACTTTTAATACCTCTAAGAAAAGCAGAGCAAAAGAAACAGTTTAGCTTTCCTCAGACCCTAAAAGCAGCTGCAATTCCAGATAAATACTTGGAAAGTGCAGGCTAGTAAGTACAGCAGCCCCCTAGATCTGGTGCAAATGGAAAATCAGGCTGGGAGAAGAACTATGTTCACAGATGGATTAAGAATAGGACTTATTCTGTGGCTCAAGATCCCCTCTGATCGCTGCAACCCAGCCTCCCCCCAACACGCTTTTCTTTAGGGCTTGAAAGGATCTCACGTCTGACAACGAAATGGTTCAAATACGTGCACAGGCTCAATGACTCCCCCAAGGGGCTAATAAAGGTCCAAACGAGGAGAGAAAAGAGAACACAGCAAATTACTAACAACTGATTCGCAGCATTAAACTCGCCTGAAGTCTTGTCACTCGGGGGGAGGGAGGGGAGAATGGAAAGTGGTTCCAGTTTTCCAGCCCGGTTTAATTGGGAAGTTTTGAAAGTGACCAACTAAATCCGAAGCCGGAGAAAGAACTGCACACTCCTCCCCACCTCCCTCAGCTCTAATCTCGGCTACTAAGGACCCAGCACACAAGCTCCCTAGCAGTTCTATATATACGCACAGGCGTGCTGTCCCCTTGCAATTTATCCCCATTGCCTCTGGCGTCCTCCCTCACCCCAGCCTGGTCTGGGGCGGAGAGGGAGCGCCTAAGCCAGTGCATTTTGCATTTGCAGTCTTGGACCTTTCTCAACAGTTTGCTCCTGCAGACTGTCCAACCCCCCCGAGATTCCTCCGCTTTCCCCCTTGCAAGAGACGCATGCAGGATGTTACATGCTCACCCCAAAGTGGCTGGGGTAAGCAATAAACCTTCGCCCCCCGATTCTCTTACCTGCTGCCTGCGGTTCCTCTTTCGCCCTCGTGGCCTCCCTCCCGCTGCTCAGGACACCAGCGCTGCCCCCTCCCCCTCTTGAGAGCTTCTCTGTGCGTCTGGCTCCTTCTGTCTCGCACGCTCCGATCAAGTTTTGTTGCTGTTGTTCTGGTGGGGCCGGGAGTAGAGCAGGCAGCGGGGGATGCAATGGGGAGACGGGGTATCTTTGGAGTGGGAGAGGTGGAAAGTTAAACTCCCAGCGCACACGCCAAAAAACTATACGGTGCGGGGGGGAATTTGCAAAGAAAACTTCTGCCCGTGCTGCTGCGCCTGAACCGCTGCTGCGGATCCTGCTCCCGCTCCCAGGTTCCTGGTATTAACACGGGGCTACGTGCCCCTGCCACCGAGCTCTTGCTTCGTACTCAGCTGACTCTCCAGCTTAGGATGCATCATCTCCACCGTCCCCCTCCCCCTTTAATAGGCTTTAAACCCACCTCCCACCCCGGCACCGCCTCCGCTGGCTCCACGCAGCCGCAGCCCGAGCCATTCCACGCCCCAGCCCAGCCGCCTCCCCGCCCAGCCGGCCGCGGGCCGGGGAAGGGCAGCGAGCTGCTCCAGTGCGTCCCGCTGGAGTTCTCCCAGCCCGGTCCGGGGTTTGTTTTCCAGCCTCGCTGCTCCCGCGCCAACCGTCTGCCAGCGTCCCTCGAGCCCGGCTGCAGACGGAGCTGCTGTTCCTGGCTAGTCGCTGTGCGGACACAAACGCGCCCTAGGTTTGCCCGAGCTCAGCCACTTGCGCCCCTGCTCCCAGGCCCGCTCACAGTCGCGCCGCTCTGGTACGCCACAGACACGTGTGCGTACATGCTGGGCTGCAGCCTGCACCCGCCACTAAAGCCGTCCGCACACAGACACGCACCGAGCCCAGGCTCACTTGCATTCCGCCACACACGGTTTCAGACTCACACTTACCCACCCAGCGCAGCCTCTCACACTTCTGTCACACTCAGACACTTGGCTCTGGCAAACCCACAGCTATGCATTGCTGCCAATCATCCTCCTTACACTGACTTTGCACACGCATGCACTGTGCTCACCTACTCTCACCATCACCACTTACACACACCTTGCACACTCACTGTTCACTCTCACCATCCCTGCTTACACACACACCTTTCTCATGTATATTGTGCCGACAGAAATATTCACACTCACTGGGATGAGGCTTGCCCAATGGATGGTAATGCTGTTTCACATTTAGACCAGGTAGAATGAATGCAAAAACAGGATAGCTAGATTTGTGCTCTGCAAGAAACTGAGTGTCGTTATTAATGGAAAAGGAGGTTGAAGTGCTGCTGTGCAAACAAAAAAGCCAAAAAATGCACCAGTAACAGCCGGAGTGGCTGCACCAGCTGGGATTAAATGGACCAGGCCACACTTCTTAGCATCTATGCAAAATTATACTAATTAATGACAATAAAATATTGAGAAGGGATATTCAATCTTGTATTTCAGCCCCTAGAAAAGTCACGTTTTCTTTTTTAAGATTACATTATGGTTTTGGTCTGACTTGATTTTTGAACTCTCATTTCCCATCTTTACTGGATGTTACAATTCATTTTTGCCAATGCTTCAAAATTTATAAAGGTGATTTTTGCCCCCACTGCAAAAGCTTTCACCCCCACATCTGCCCATCACCTGCCCAGCAATTAATTCTGCCCCCTGATGGCCATCAATTTTGCCCCACAGGAGTTTTGCCCCCCGCCGCCTCACCGCTGTTCCTTCTGTATTTCTTGCAGCTCTTCATCCACCTCTCCCAGGACCAAAGCAGAGGGCTGTAGCTAGGTCCCCTTCTCCTCTTTCCAGGGTTGAGGGGAACAGCTTCAGGGGTTCTTCACCACTCCTGCACCTTTGTAAGCCAGGTGTTGTAGGGAGGCAGACAAAGAAGAGCCAGCCCATAGAAGGGGAGGGAGAAGTGGAGATACCTTAAGTGGCTAGCTTCTTTCTGCTCCTTCTCCCTCCCACCTGTGACAAATGGGGTCACCTCCTGGGAGGGGGGAGAGCTCTTCTTGCTGCTGCTCTGAGTGGATGCTCTTCCCCAGGAGGTGGGATAACCAGCCAATCAGAGGGGGTTCCTCCAAGGAGGGCTCACATTAGCCCTGTCATTGCAAAGCTGCAACCCAAGCCAAACTTGAGTAAAAATGGACAGAGTTAAAGACTCTGCAATTTGTAACTGTTAGAGATCAGAGGGAGGCCTATGTAGGGGCTGATTGTGCAACATACACCAACAGTAGGGTTCTTGTCACCTTCAGAAGCATCTAGTTCTGGCTACTATCAGAGACAGGATACTGCACAAGAGGGATTACTGGTGTGGTGCACTATGGCAATTCTTATGTTCCTGAGGTCCTGGGGCCTGGACACTACAAAGGTGTTGGAGAGGCCCTGCAAGGACTCACAGCCATGATTGGATCTTTATATTTTGCCAGTTGGTCTTGGCCACCTGTAACAACCCACTCAAAGTACAAGCAGAACCTCAGGTCAGCAGGTCTCAGCACTACAAGGGGCAGAAGTCCTACTTCCTGTGGGCTGGCTCCACCAGAGGGATATTACCAGCTGCCTGATCAGCAGAGAGCTTTTTTGAGGTGCAGGGGGAGGTGAGAGCAGCAGCTAGAGGAAATGTGAAATGTTTGTAAGATGGCATGCCTGGGGTTGGGGTGTGGCTTGGATGGATGGTTACAGGGGACAGGAGGTCTTTAAAGGAGCAGAATGATGGGTGAGTAGGAAGGGTTGGACAGTGATAGGGGACAGGGATCTGGAAAGAGATTCTAGTGTGTTAGAAATACACATGTAAACACACTTTGTACATATTGTAGGACATATTTCCAAACACGATGTATGCATAACAAGTAACTAACTACACGACCCCTTTTTTTCCCAACCTTCTCTGCCCATCCTGTTTTCATTCTGTATTCTCACTTCTTTCATCACCACCACCATTTATGCCACAGAGAATGTGCCTGTCTATCTGATCTGTGAGACACATAGCATGCTGTGTGTCCTTGGAACAATTCATGGTAACAGAGACTGCAGGGGAGCCTTTATAAACTGGGCAGCCCCTCCACTCTCTTGGATTCTCAAGCACTCCCCAGGGCTCTCACACACTTGTAATACTTATAACTCTTCAGCAGCAGGGGTCCTTGTGCATTTCAACTTCACCTATTACCAGGGCTGCACTGGCAGCTCCATGCAATCCAAAGAATATTTTTAAGTGGCTCACATGTTGACAAGTAATCTGTGGAACTGAGAAACGGCTCTTCCAAGGAATCCAGGGGTATCCCCCCTAAGGAAACTTTTAACGTGTGTGTGCACGCGCATGCCATTTGGTGCAATCTAGTGCATTCTAAAGGTGGGAGGGGCAGAGAGCATTCTATAAACCATGCCTAGAAACACCCACTTGTAGAAAAATATCTGCTTTATCTATAGAAGAGGCTGAATGCCACTGGAAGCAGGGAAATTCCCAGTGCTCCTCATTATTATTAGAAACCACTATTGGCATGTATTAATTATAGTATTGTCATTCAACTTTCTATTAAACACCTTTTAAAAAGTAACTTACTATTTCTACATTGCTTTTGTTCTTCCTTCTTTCTCCATTCCTTTAGTCCCTGTACAGTATATGTTGGTGTCTTTTCACAGCTGTCCCTTCATTTCACCTTCCTCTTTCTGTGCATGTGTCGTGTCCTTCCCTGTGTTCTTTCATCTCTCCATCCCTCAGTCGCTCCCTCTTATCATCTCTCCAGTCTCTCACACATATCAAATAGCCTCTCACAGATACACGTGACCCAACCATATGCTTACTATTCACCCATCATATACACACTCAGTGTCTCTAACCCCAGCAGAGGACTAGGTGTGGGAAGCCACTTCTGCCACCAATGCTAGGAAGTAGGGGGCAGATCTGCCTGCTGGACAGGATGGTATAAGCAGGGACCTCTCCCCGCACCACAGGGCCTCCTTTGCCAGAGCTACTGGGGCTTCTCCTCCAAGGGCCCTCTGCTTCAGATTGAGATTAGGACTCAGTAAACTGCATAGCCATAGTAATGGAGGAAGCCAGGGAGGCCCCCACAGGAGCAGCAGCAAAGAGTGACAATAGAGCCTCTTGTTCTGGCCCTTTGTTTCAGGGGTGTAGGCGCTGGGCCCTCCTACAGCATCGTTTGTTCTAGTGAGGGTGTGTGGAGCTGAGCTCTCCTATCACAAGACACTCTGTTGTGGAGGAGAAGGAGGCTGTGAAAAGCTGCTGAAGAGGAAGGTGTCTCTTGGGTCAGCCCGAGGAGAATAGCAGCAATATTCTCCCTGGCCTCCAGGAAAGTGGAATTGTGAGACAAACCCCTCCCCGCACACACACCCTCAGTTGCCACGAAAGAGAAGATACTGGTGATTGAACTAACCACTTTGGTGAGGTTGACAAGCCAGGCCTTCCCATTGCCGTTACCCCATGCCCATCTGCATTTCTGCTTAAGATCCCAATCTACTAGTGTGGCGAGGGGACGAAGGGAAAGCCTCTCCCCTTCTTCACTGGCTGTGAGTAGAGAGGCAGCTGATGCAGTTCCTCCTTCGCATGGAGCATGCTGTCCATGCAGGAAGTTTTCTCCTCCTACCTGGAAAGTGTGTGATGACATTACCGTAACATCACATGATCCTGAAGCTAGGCCCAGCCCTATTGTGCTTATTGGTTAATCATATTCAACACATGCTTCTTTAGTGTGGTAATGACATAGTTATACTTTGCAATTCTATAGCATTTTTCACCCTAAGAGATCAGTGTGCATTACAAATGTTATGTTTCACCCTATCTAAAGAGGGGGAAACTAAAACACAAAGGGGTAAAGTGATTTGTCCAAGGTCACAAAGCAAGTTAGAATTATATCTCATGAATTTCTGGTTTCCAAATTATTCTACCTCTTCAGCCAGAGTACCACCAAATATTTCAGATTGACTATTAAAAATAAATAACAGTGTTAGAAATACACAAACGTTACATACAATACAAAAGGTATGTCGGGGGTCTTTCTTGAACCACCATTTCTGGAGCTTAACTGGCTTTCTTCCAATAAGTGTGCTCTCACTATATAACACTGCTGATCCATCAGTTTATCATGAATTAACTTTAATATTTTACAAGTGTGAGAACATGTCTATTTGCCATTACACATGATTTTTAAAGGATTAAAATGTATACACTGTGTGTCATTATGTTACATTTTACAGACAATAAAATTACTTGTACTGGAGCCAAACTTGTTGATAGATTCCTTTACAAGTGCTTATGACAAAGAAAAAGAGTGTCCAGTTGAATGGTGATTAAATGGGTGTCTGAGCATAAATTTCCTTATATAAAAATAAACCATTTTACTAGACGATTGTTGAAGTGTTCATCTATATAATATTTAT